TGTTTCTCTCTGCAAGAAATGCCATTTGGAAAGCCGGTGTGCATGTCAGTCCTTTTTTTTTTTTTCATTCTGAGAAAAAGCCTATAGAGTCTGGCAGGGGGAGGGTTTGCAGCTGGCAGGAGCTTTGGCATATGTTGTAACTAAAAAGAGAGGGAATGTGTTGGTGGGACAAGCTACCGGAGAGCTGTCTCGGTGTACTGCGGTACTCGTAAGTGTTTTAATTGGGTAGGGTTTGGGGAGACTATTTTGACATCTGCTCGTGTCTTTGCTGATTTTTCTTCACTTCGAGTAGGAAACACAAGCTGTGGATAAAATGACTTTAAAATAATTGGAAGTAAAGATATCTCTCTCAAAGTCGGATTTGAGAGGGACACTTTTGAAGAAGCAGAAAGTAGATTCCACTTCTAGGAATCCATCCTTTACAGCACAAAGCTTCTTGCCTCCCGATTGCATGACAGTATTGCATATAACCCGCTTCTTAAATACTGGGACTAACAGCCCTCCCGAGGTCCTGGGCAGTTGGTGTCCATGAGGTGAGATGCTTTGTAGCCATCAGTAGTGATCTTTACAGAGTTTTTAATGAAGCTGAGCTGTTGCTTATATTGTCACAAATGAAGAAGACCAGACACAAACTGTTTCAAAACTGTTTCAACTGTGTTTTAAAAAGTCTTTGGGGGTAGAGGGATGGGAAAGAAATGCACCAAGAGGTTGCCTCAAGTGGAGAGATGAGAGAGGCTGTAATTTCATTTTCTTCCTTGTGGTCTCCTCCTCCTTCTATCTATCCCATTTTCCTCCCCTTTTTACTTTTATTTTGTCATCTCCCTCTCTCTTTTTTTTTTTTTAAACAAGGAAGCCTGTGTAATTTCAGTGATACAAAGGCAAGTGCTATTTTGGGAGGGGGAAAACAGGCCCTGAGCAGGTGTGCCCAGACAGGGGTCTGGCCCACTTGCGTCGTGTTCTGAAGTCTGAGCGGTTGGATTTGGGACATCTTCCCGGAGTTAGGCTTTCGGGGCAGAGTAGATTCAAGTCAGCTCTGCGCCTGTCAGCACTGAGCCTCCTTTCCCATCCTCACTGCACGTGTGGGGACCGAGTGAGCGGGTGCTCTCCTCCCCCCGCACCTCTGCCCAGCTTGTAGGGTTCTGGTGGTTTGGGGTTTTATTGTGTTGGGGCTCTTTTTTGTTTGTTTTGTTGTCTGTTCCGTGATGTGGGTTGTTTTTTCTTTTTCTTTTTCGGCCTTTCTTCATTCCCCTTGTTTCTTCAGCCTTTCAGGGATAAGGCACCATCCGGCCGAGCAGGTCCCCGATTCTCTCCTTGGGAACACTGAGCTTCAGGACGGCCCTTGAGTCCACGCCAGCCCCCTCGGAGAGGCTTTGCCACAGAGAGGGCAGCGTTGTCCTGGCAGAGGAAACTGCCTGCCCAGCTCCTGCCTGGAGCCTAGGGCTTGGGCTTTGGGTTACTAAGGGGACCTTGGCCTGCTCAGTCAGAAAAGAGGGCCAGGTTTTTTCCTCTTCTTCAGTCTGCCGCCATTGTTGTAAAAGTAAACACTCCACACAGCTTAACCGGCAAGTCCTCCAGCCAGGAGTGGGAAGAATCAAAGGGGCCTATTCCAGCCCCGCCATGCAGAGCCCACAACGGCTGGTCTGTGCTGCTGGGGGGGGGGGGGCACCCTGGGAATGCAGAAGCAGCACCGATCCTGGGCCAGAAGTACGTCCCATTCACTGGGCTGCTCAGCCCCTGAGTCAGGCCCTCTGCCCCCTTCTGTTTAGAAAGTCAGATGAGGCAAACAGGTGATTCTGGGGTGTTGTGGCCCTCATCTTGGCCCTCATCTAAGTTGTGAGACCCCTGTATGCCCCTTCTCTGGTCCTGTTTCCAATACAAGTGTGTCAGGCTTTGAGGGCCCAGCTGGTACCAAGAAGGGACCCCCTGCCATTGCCACTTCAGCATGAGCCTGACCGTGTGCCCAGCACCACTCACACATTGCTGCCAAGCCTCACAGCAGTCCGGGGCACTGAGTGGAGCGGGTGGTCACAGATGCCACCTCGGCTGTGCAGATGGAGAGGTCGGCGTGGCCCCATCACCTTGGGCACACCGCCTCACCCCTCTGCACCACCACTGCTCCTCTAAAATGGGACTGGTGACACTTCGCCTCCATCTCCCTGCTTGAACATGAAAACCCAGTGTGCAAGTGCCGTGTGAGCCCAAAGCATGGCACGCTGGCTGGTGGTTGCCTGAGTGCCCATTGTAACTTCCTGCCAGCACAATGGCAGCCCACACCCCAGTCCAGGAGGCGGGCAGGCAGAGAGACGCTGGGACTCGGAGTAACGAGGGGAGGGGTCGTTACAACCCTGCCCAAAAGAATGGGTCCTTTGCAAGGCTTTCCCAGAGGCTCATACATGGGAAGGGTGCCAGAAAGGGGAAGTTACCAGAGCTCGGCGGAGGGAGTTAGGAGGAGACATTTAAAGGGTGGGTCCACGAGGCAGGGCAGGGGCTAGAGTTCAGAGTGTGGAAGTTGGGGGCGGAGGGGGGCAAATTCCACCTGTGTTGTGGACTCAGCCTCTTCCTCCAGGAAAGTGTGAGACTTGGTCAGGATTGGGGGCATCTTCTGGTCAGTGTGGTGGACCAGATTGTTTGGACAGGGCTCACCCTGCTCATGATTAAGTCTGCTTGTTCCAACAGGACTTGGGCAGCTCTCTTCCTACTGGCTGGAAATTTCTTTGGCAGCCTAAGCTACCTCAAGCGCCCCACTGACTATGTCTAACGAGGAGACTAGTGTGCCCTGCAAAGACCCTGGCCTGTCGAGGCAGCCAGTGCTGTGTTACCCCTGCCCCTTCCCTCACCTCTCGGAGCCTCATTTCCCTCATGTCATCTAAGGTGAGGGTAATGTGTGCATTTTTGCATGGTTTGGTAAGAATCAAAGGAAATAAGTTTTAAAAAGCATAGAGCAGGTACTACAAGGCTTTAATGCTCTGCAGTTGCCATCCATCTCTGGAGTCCCCATAGACATAGGTTTGAGCACCCCTGGATGTGCGGCTCCAATCACTGCACAGTGCTCTTGGTAAGTCAGAAAAGCAGATCTTCTCTTTGCCCGCTCCCCTGCCTGGCGCCGCTCAGCAAGCACATAGGTTGGAGATTTCAGCCCCCGCTGGGCCCGGCACATTGGCGGTGCGCACCTGCCGTCACGCAGCACAAGCTCAGAGTGACTAGCAGTGAACGGACCCTGTGCAGATAGGTGACTGTGCACCCCATTTTAGGCCCGTCGCCCTGACATGCCGTGCTCTCTTTCACACTCAGAGTGCCCCAGTTTCATCAGCAAAGCATTATTTCCACTAAACCTGAGGCTCTGAAGGAACTGGCTGTGATATATGATGGGGTGGGAGGATTGACTGGAGCGGGTGTGCTGGGTCAGCCAGAGAAAAATGGGACCAGACTCCAGCCAGGGTTAGCAGCAGGCTTAAAAATTCCAAACCCAGGTTCCTCAAACTGCTAAACATGGAGCTTCCCTACGACTCAGCAATCCCACTCCTAGGTATCTACCCAAAAGACACAAAAACACTGATTGAAAAAGATACCTGCACCCCCATGTTTATTGCTGCTTTATTTACAATTGGAAAAACATGGAAGCAGCCCAAATACCCAAAAGTAGATGACTGGATTAAAAAAGATGTGGTACATATATACAATGGAATATTACTCAGCAACCAAAAAAGAGAAACACATGTCTTTTGCAGCAACTTGGATGGAGCTGGAAAAGATCATGCTTAGTGAGATAAGCCAGAAAGAGAAAGAAAAATACCGGGTGGTTTCACTCATAGCAGGAGTATAATGGACCAGGCGAGAAAATAACAAGAATAATGAACAGCCATATACCAGAGACATTTTGTGGGGGTGGAGTGGGGAATGGGATCAAAAACGGGGTGAGGGGGGGAATGTACGGGATTATGGTGATGGCACACGGGTGACTTGGTGATGGGAAACCCGCGGGGATTACAATCGAGATGGGGAAAAAAATGTACAAAATGATATAAAAATAAACTTTTGTAATTAAAAAAATAATATCCAAACCCAGGCTGCACACAAGCTTGTGCGTCTGCAGGCTGCAGGGAGCTGCACCCAGACGCTAGGCTTCTCGTCTCTATAGCGCACCTCCCTCCTCCCCTCCCCCAGAGACACGACCACCGTGCAGATACACCTCTCCCTGCCCTTCTCACGGCTGTACTGTTGGACAATGGCCGGTGGCAGAGCCGGAGCCAGGGCACACGTGCAGGGCTCCTGCGAAGTGGAGCCACGTTGAGAGTGTGTGACCTGCCTCGTGTTTGAGGGAAATGTTCACATGCAGACCTCAGGCCACCTCCCACATTCTCTCTGAGAATGCAGAGACCTGAAAGTGAGACGGGAAGACCCTTCCACCCGAGAGGGAGGGACTCCAAGCCTACTGTTTTTCAGCATTCCTGGGGTGCGAGCTTCAGACCTCAACTGCTGTTTTTTAAAATTGGAAAATGTAGGAAAAGGTGATGCCAGGCTCTAAAGAGCCTAGCTGTGTGGCTGGGACATGTGAAACCCTTTCCACTCCCAGGGCTTAGGGATGGCCGTGATTGTGCCCCTCAAAGGTGATTGGGATTCAAGTCAGACCCCCAAAATAAAGCATGTAGCACAAGTGAGTGGAGTGAATTTTTGGTCTTCTGGGACGCATGAACGTCATGTTCATGTGCAGTATTGCACATGCAGTGGCGTATGTCTCCAGAACACACATGCAGCCTCCCTTCACCATGCGATGGGCTGGCTGCCAGCAGGACTGCCCGGCCGTGCGGTGCATGTGCAGCCCGGTCTGCCTGGACAGCCACCCAGAGTGAGGCCTCACCAGTGGACACCACCAGGGTGGGCTACCCCAGAGTGAGCCTGGGTGAGACCCGCTGGCCTTCATTGTTCCCCAAAGAAGACCAGAGGAGCGTGTGTGCTTGTGGGGGCTCCGGTGATTTTTCTCTGGCTTCTTGTACTTGCAGAAAGTCAGAAACATGGCCCTGGACGATGTCGTGATCCTGAACGTGGACACCAACACCCTAGAAACCCCCTTCGATGACCTCCAGAGCCTCCCCAATGATGTGGTGGGTAATGAACTTGAGGGTGGTTCTGAGGGGAGGGGGAAGCAGGGACACGCTCTGGGTTTCCTGCAGCTGGTGAACTGCAGTGTGTATGTGTGTGTGTGTCTCAGTGAAGCCAGTTGGGAGGTGCTTTGCTTTTGAACTCCTGTTCTGCCCTTCATAACCTTCATTTCAAGACTGGGAGGTTGTCCCCAGTATAGATGTAACTTTTGTCCATGGGAGACTGGGAGGGAGTCTCGCTGTCCTATCATGCTGCCATGTCCAGATTGCAGGGCAGGTTCCCCAAGTGACCCCTAGAAGGTGGGAGCAAAGGATTCCAGATGGGACACACGAACCTCCATCATTTCCCCCAGACAGTCATTGAATGCTGTCCTTTGCCCACCTAGCAGGCTGCCAGGCCTGAGTGTGGCTGCACATCCCCTAACCCTGTCCCTGCCACTCTAGGTCAAGGCAGAATGTGGGCTCTGTTTAGCCCAAAGCAAGTGGGTGCCACATTTGCCACCCAGACATCTGACCACGTGCCTACCCCAGGCTGCCAGTCGGGGCTGCGGCGTGGTGACTGTGGAAGTATACCCAGCCCTCTCCCCATCATCCATCCACAGAGGAGGGCTGAGTTCCCAAGGAAATGTGGTTTTGATGTCTCTGGTTTGACCTCCATGCTCTTGCCTGCTGGGAGATCTACGAGTGTTAAAATTGCTCTGAATCCCAGGTGGGAAGGAGCGGACATTCCTGGCTGTGCGAGCAGGCAAGGGGCTGGGCTTCCGTGGCCGTTGTCACTAGGGTTGTATCGTGACAGTGGCTTTGCTGCTCCATTGCTGCCGGGAGTCCAGCCCCAGAGAGGCTGCCATTAGCAGGTAAGTGGCTTGCCACAGGCTTCAGGTGTTTGGCACGGGTCGGGTGCTTGCGTGCGGGTGGTGAGTGCTTGGAAAACGGTACCTGCATGTTCCCAGTACAGTTGTCAGCTATCACAGGCTGGCTTGGTGGACAGCTCCCTCCCAGCCTAACAACCCTGGGCCTGCACAAACAGGACCTCCCACTGCATGCTGGTTTATAGCAGGCTGAGAATGTTCTGTAGCTGTGGTTTCTCACTGTAGACTCACTAAAGATACCGAAAATGTAATGGGAGCTGAATGTGGTCCCTGAGATATTTACTGTGTCACAGGACTTCATAGGCTTGATTCTGTAAACTTTGGTAAGCTGTCTAGTCATTGAGGGGAGAAGCCATGTGCTGGGCATCTGTCTGCCACGGGCACGGGACTAGGCACTTCAGCTTGTGCTCACGGTGGCCCCGTGGCCACAGCTGCTGGTTCTGCTTGGACTTTTCTCAACCTTCTTCTCCATCACTCCCAAGCACACCTGCACTATCACCAGCAGCCTCTGACCTGATTCTTTAGCCACGTCTTCTAGCCCTTCTCATGCACTAGAGAGACCTTTCTGAAACAGAGCATTAACTGTGTTTCCCTCCTCCTCAAAACCATTCTATGAATAAATATAGTTTTAAAAAAACTTCTAAAGACAAAAAAGATTCTCACAGTGCCCTACTGCCTTGGGGTTGGTAGCCAGTTCCCTTAGTTGACTTTGGAACCAGAGCTGTGTATAAATCCCAATTTCTTCACTCACCATGTATGACCTTGTGCAAAATTTCTTAAGCTCTCTACATCTTCATTTCCTCATAAGGTTTTTATGAAAATTAAAAGTGATGTATGTGGTATATATAAACAATGTATCCTATGAGCACTACAGATGATACTGATGATAAATTATGGACTCAAATGATGATTAACATGGCATACAAGACCCTCCTTCAGGAGAGGATCTTTCTCCCTTTTTATTTCTTCCCATAGCTTTAATTCTCTCCTCACTGCTTTGGATCCTATATTGTAGGTGTTTGGAACTATTAGTAGTTCTCCTAAACTTGTGTGTTGCCGTATAATGTTATATATCGCATACAGAGTTTTCTATGATATATCCTAACTCATCTGTCAAACTTTTGCTCATTGTCAAGACTTATTTAAACATTGAGTTGTAGAAATCTTCCCTGACCTCTCCAAGAAGATTCAGCCGTATCTCTCTGTTTCACGGCCAGCCCTTTGTGTTGCTTGTATAATTCAACTTGTCACTCCGCAGTTTAATTTACTAGACATTTCTGCCTTTTCCTTTTAATTGCGAGTTCTTTGAGGGCAGAAATCAAGTTTTGTTCATCTTTGTTTTCCAGGGATATAGCAGTCACTGAACAGATACATGGAAGGGACATATGGATTGGGTTATTTTAGTAGATGAAATCTTGCAAGGCATGGCTTCTATACTGGAAAACGCGTTCAAAGAGGCCTTTGTTCTGCATCTAGCCATGATAGAGTAAAGAAATAAACTTAATCTACCACCATTAACACTAGAACTCTGGACAGCAGGCAGTGGCATGCCTCTGCTCCCTAAGACAAAGGAAGCAAGTGAGGTGAAGCCTACTGTGGTCACTTTATGCCTTGAGGCATGTTTTGAACCATGGTGTCAGGAGGAGGAGCCCCATCAAAGCCCCAAGTTCTTGCAGAGTGGAGGGGTTAGAGATTTAACTTGGAGGAAGAGGTGGCTTGAAGTTGTGGCTCATATTACCAGACAGAAGAGGGCTACCCAGTAAAAGAGCTCCAGAAGCCTGAATCAGCCCAGATCTTGACAGCTTACTGGAGCCCGACCTGCCTACCTATATGGTGAGATTGCTGATGGAGAGCTTTAAGGTGGAACATTCTCAAAGCTCACTCAAGCTCTGCCCAGCTGGAGTAAGCAGATCTTACTGATCACTCAGGATGATCCTTAGAGACCCCAGGAAGCCATGCCTTGGTAGTTTTTTATCTGAGTGCTGGTTACATGGCAGAAGAGTTAAAGCTCTATTCAAATGCTATGTGTGATTTTATTGACACTTACTAAAATTCAGTGAAAAGTTTGAAACAGAACTATTTCTTTTTTAAAAAAAAATGTTTTTATCAGGATATGCAAACAATTTAACTGCCTGTCAATAGAAAAGTCAATGCTTTTTAAAGGAAAACAACAAAACCCAACACTGAATAATGTAACATTGACAGCATCTAGCATCCTATCAAAAAAGGTACCAAGCAGGTTGAGAATCAGGAAATGTGTAACACATAACCTAGAGAAAATATGAGTTAGTAAAAAAAGCATACTCAGAAATAACATGTGATGAACCAGCAGATAACATCCTAAAGATTGATATTACAAAAACTGGAAATATACTTGTGAATTTAAAGGAAGATTAAATGAGGAGAGAAATGGAAGATCACAAAGAATGAAAGGAAATATATAGAGGTAAAAATTCACTGATAGAATAAGAGGGCTGATAGATACCACAGCATTAAAGATCGGTGAACTGGAAGGCATAGCAATAAAGACTTCCATTCAAAGTCAGGGAAAAGCAGGTGACTGGCTAGGGTTAAACAGAGGGTCTCCCTTGCCCCGGTGGTGCAAGGGGTTAAGTCTCAGCACTATCAAGCTATTGGCAGCCACTGTAACACAAAATCAATCCCCAGCCAGGAAGCTGACCCATGTGGCACAACAGACCTCTCCTGTCTCACCCACAGCTCCCCTCAGCAGTGTATTTCAGTCCTTCTACCTGTTCTGTCTGTCTCTGGTGAATTCTCTCACCCTTCTTACCTGCTCCATACCTCTGGTTTACACCCAGATCTTAAACAAAAAAAAGGTTAAGGACCCTCCCTGGTGGCACAGCGGGTTAAAGCGCAGCACTAAGAAGCTAAAACCACTTCCTCATGAGCTCGATTCCCGCCTGCCCCGGAGGTGACCACCATATAAAGAGGAAGAGGACTAACATACTTGTAATTGGAGCCCTAGAAGGAGGAGATAAGGAAACAGAGGAGGAAATATTTAAAGAGATTTTCTTCCAGTTTTGGTGAAAATGATACATTCATCATTCCAAGAAGCTTAGTGAACCTTAAGCATTAAGTAATGGAATCAAACAAATGCACATCGTGATAATTACTCAAAACCAGTGATAAAACAGAAAGCTGCAAATATGCTAGAGAATGAACATATTTTATAAATGAAAGGAGTAATGACAGAAGACTTCTCTTAAAAAACTGCGTAAGCCAGGAAATAGAGTGACATTAAGGTAATGAAGAAAAATTATGTCAACTAGAATTCTATATACATTGAGAGTGTCCTTCACAATGAAGGCAAAATTCAGACTTTTTCAGACAAATATATGAGACAAGTCATTGTCAACAGACCTGTGGTATAAGAAGTGTTAAAGGAAGTTCTTTAGATGGAAGAAATGATTCTGTGGATAATAAGAGTACAGAGGGCCAGAAATTGTAAACGTGGGGAAATGAAGAGATGTCTTTTCACATTTTAAATCTCTAAAAGGTAATTAAGCATTTAAAGTAAAACTAATACTAGAAACTAATGCATTATTCATTGTAACAGGTAGAATGACAATGCACGATAGCTATAATGCAAAGGACAGGTGTGGCAGAGAACGGACATAGGCAGTGGTAAGGTCCTTAAATTATATGTAAATTGGTATAATATTAGTAGAAGAGGGGCTCTTAAGTGAGATGTGTACTTTTTTTTACTCAGTATGTATATTTTTTACATCATTCTTCATTTTTGTACAATGCATGCTTTTTCATCTTAGCTGTAACTCCCGTGGCATTAAGGAAGCCACCCAGGAAAAAATAACAGGATAGAGGTATATGGCTAATGAACCAATATTGAATATCCCAAATGTTGTTGGGGAAAAGTGGGAAAATAAAGGAAGCTATATTGATTATTACATTAAACTTGCATGATCTAAATTCTTGAATTAAAAATGATTAGTGTAAGATGATTATATACAAAAATCAAGACATCAATATTTATTGTCTATAAAAATTCCACTTTAAACATAAAAGTCACACAGATTAACAGTAAATGGATGAGGGCAGGACGCTAAAAGGCAACGCTGCTAGCCGGCCACAGCTTCAGCGCATTGTGATCCCCGG